CGTGTCTACTGGTCCTTCTATTGCATTGTATGACGCTGGCAAATTTGCTGAGGCAGCTTTTATCTATTATATTAGAATCTAGGTGATCTTTTTTTATCATTAACCTGTCTGGTTAGTAATAATCACAGATTCAAGGTAGCTTAAAAAATTAGGCACTTTCATGGTTTATGGCTTCAATTACTAGGACCACAGTTACGATCCTTGCAGGAGGAGTGGTTATAGGCGTGCATTCGCTCACATGTTATAGTAGCTAGCCCCATTATTAGAAGGTACTTACTGGTCCTGTATTTCTTCTGAGGACCTACGCTACAGGGAGAACAAAATAATCTGTTATCCCATGGAACTCTATCCTTCCTAGCAGGCAAACACTGATTTTTTGCATTTGAAATTGACACTTTTCCTTTGTCTGTGCAAATATTGTGTTGTTCTTTTCATGCTTTCATTCAAAGTATTCGTAGTTCTCATGTCTTGTTTCACTGCAAACTGTTTTCTGTTATACTCTTAAACTGTGCCCTCGTTTATTGTAACTTTCCCAACAAGACCTCTTGCTTTATAAATTTTGGAGTTACGCCCCTAGAGATAGAACATCTGGCTTTGGAAAACGACTTGCTTTGTCATAATTTGTTCAAATAGTAGTCTAAAGCTGTGCTTTATTCTAGGGCCTTCTATTTTATGCCATACACACATATGCAAATCAGCTTAGTCCTCTTTCTTGACTTGATTATTAACGATTTATCAATTTTTTATTGTCCCTCCCCCGACTTGAGCTTTCACAACACTGTTTTGACATCATGTTACACAATATATTCTTTTCGTTGTGTCGTTATTTATAGCATCACATCTAATGTATAGGTATGTGATTAGCATACATTTGTAAACATGCTTCCGATCTTGCTCACTTATCTTCTTCTGTCTAATCGATCCCATAGTTTCTACTATCTTAGCCCGAATGCTACATATACTTTTTTTCTAAGCTCATCTTATAGTTTACACCTTATTAGTTTATATTAGCCTCCATTAGTTTACACTTTATAGTTTATTCCATTAACAGTCTTATGAATCCTATTAAGTAGTCCTACTTCCTTATTCGAAGGTATGAAGACCAAGATGGAGTGGACTTTTGTGTGGTAGCAGTCTCCTTTCGTTGTATAGAAGTTGTTAGACCTTGTTTTCTCAACTTAGTTATATCGGCAGGAAGACCTAAGGGAAGGAACCTTATCCAGAGTCCATAGTATGCATGATAAATTCGAGAGTCGGATTGTAGGCGTAGTACATTCCCAGACATTCAACTAAGCATTTAGTGTCCTGATCGGCTGTCACACTTGATTGCATTAAGATGCTTTTATTTGATCTAGATAAAGGTATGCAGGCATGGGGAATTAGAGTAGGGAGGTGATTTTTATAGCTCGAAAAAAGATTAAATTTGACAGAGCAAGTCACTATAAGTTTATATTTTTTGATAAAGTATTTTCCAATAGATGAGAGCCACCCGGACTGTTTTTTTCGATTTTACTCAGACCACTAGCATAAATATTGATCTATGTTATGCCACACAATACAGCTTCACAAACACTTTATTTTACAGACCAATACTATTATTTATAAAATCTTATACACCGTAAATATTGTTTGTAAAATTTTGAAGGCCATTTTCTCGACTATTTTTGTAAAAGTATATCACTATTTATTCTACTTTTCCCACTTTACATTAAATTTGTTTACCATTAGAATGAGTGTAAAATGCTTAGCTTCTCCAGATATTGCCCATAGCGATAATATTTTAGGAACAATGTGAAGGCAAAAAAGTATGCATCTTGATCTGGCAGGATGGAGACTTTTATTTATCGATTTTCGCGCAAATTTGTGCATGTCATACGCGCAACCGATGCTGTAAAGAACCGTTGTGCATGACCATTCTTCGACTGTAAACTCTAGAAAGATTACCTCAGAGTTAAATATCTGCGCGTAGATATAAATATGCATGCTTACATATTGTTTTGATCACGGAGCTCATTTGTTGTGATAGGTCGACGAGCAGATTTTAAAGTCGCTTGTATTTTGTTTCGGCATTTACGCTTGTTTTCCATTTGTTAAAATCCTTCAAATAATTGATGATTTACGATAAGTCAGGGCTTCATCTAGTCCTGCTTCTTCCACTAAGCAAATGTCCATTTTTAAGTATCTTAAATGATCTTCTAAAACATTACTTTAATTTGGGATCCATCTGTAGGAATTTTCAATATATGTCTTGAAAAATCTTCCTTTATTTGATATCATGCTTCATATCACCTTGAATAAAATAAAGATTGTTCCTTACCATTTAAAATCTTTATAATATAGAAATACATGCTTACAGAATGAAAACCTCATCATTATCGCATATTATTTATCTTAATAAAAATTAATAACTGGTAGTTTAATTTTCCCACAATCATTGACGTAGACCTCAAGTTTCCTTACATTTCGCATATTCTCGCTTTCTCAAAAGGTATTATCATTAATGCAAAGATCTAATACAGCTTCGACCTCGTCTGGGTATCATCTGCACCTCCACTGAGACTCAGTGGTAGTGCGGGTAGCCACGATGCCCTAGGGTCACAAGGCAGATGTGAAATTCAAGAAAGACCAGGCATTTTCCTATATCACATTCTGTAATGGGAGTGTCGATGAAGAAAAGTTGTATTTGTTACAGCAATCGACTACAATACTTATTTTTCGTTTATTAGTAGCAATTTTGAGACTTCCAACGGATCATATATAAGAGGTGTATTCACCCTATTTCGTTTAGGGTGATAAAGGGACAGTGACAATGTCTGGCCTTTGTAGAAATTGGCATCTACCCTGCGATCACAAATCGTAGTGGAAATGTGGTGTAGTGGTTAATCTGTCGCGATTATATCCTTCCTTGTCATGGTTCGAGTCCCGCTGGGGGTTCTGATTAGAGCTCTGCGAGGTCAAAATCTCAGTCCTTCCGTGATAGGAATGCTTTTTGGGCAAGCAAGGCTATGTGAAATTCAATGAAAACGTCAGGTCTACTCATATTATTGTGGAAAAATTCTACTACCAGTCTTTCATCACCTCAAACGAAATATTGTTAATACATCTCATATACTAAGAATTATGTCTTCTCTTTGGTCTTCTTTAACTATCACAAAATTGCCTTTAACCACTCTGAACCCCAAAGCTTTATAAATTAGCATGTATCTAAAATTGACTGCATCTACTTCACACTCTTGTGAATTTCATCATAAATAATGTGTTTATTCTTATTATAACTCAATGAT